AATTTGCCAGGCCTTGCTAACTGAACAACGCAATCAGACATCGTTTTTTGTTGCCGCTTTATTACCCGTTCTTGTAAGTTTACTGTTTTGTTAAGTACCATTTTTTTCTTTGTTTTTTTGAGTGATCAGAAAATCCCAAGTTGATAAATTACCTCAACATGGTCTAGAATTGACGGAGTTCGATAAATTCATGAATTACGCTTCGGACTGGCCGCACTCACGGTTCGAACTGGCCGTTCACTTCAGAAATTATGGTTCAGACTACCAATGGTCGAAAATTATTTATCAACTTAAATGCTCATTATTGTTTTAGCTAAAGTTTCTTAGGTAAAATGCAAAATTTCATCGCTCATTGTGCAAGAGTAACTAATTGTTTCAAAATTTCAGAATAATCAGCTTGGCCTCCTGGACGAAAGCAGTCATGTTCGTCAGGTAACAGAACATTTGCATGGAGCAGTACGAACGAGCAAATCAACAGCAATAATTGATACAATTCTCAATGATATCCATCAAGGATCGGATCATTCCTGGCGCAGTTGTCTGTCCAGCAATGCTAATCGATCATCCTGTATCTATGGTACTGCTGGTGATGATATATCAGTGAGAACATCATCACCAACACCAAGTACATGTACATGGCCTGCTTCTGTTGATGGTTAGATTTTTTTTTTTTTTGAAAATATTTTCGGATTATTTTAGAATTTAGCTTGAAAGCTGAACAAAGTCAGGATTAACTGACATCTCTGGGGCCATAAGTAATTTTTAACGAAAAATAGTGAAGTATGATTAAACATCGTGTACATCTCTTTCGTAAGGAGCAAATACGAGCGGGAAACGAGGGGTGGGAGAAGGTGGGGGGAGGAGGGAACTTGACTCTTGATTTAATTTAATTGCATAAAAAAGTTACTTCTCGCAGTCGAGACAGCCAAAAACTTCTTCGTTCTATACGTTTTTGAGGTTATCGCATTTATTTTGCGGCGGATGGGCTTCCTGTGTCTTTGATAGTTATCGCAGAATTCGGCAAACATTGCATTGCAAACATTGTTGGATCTGGGTACTTAGTGAATTTGGACTGCATAAGTATAGAAGCTTAAAAGTTACTAACTTGAACCCATCGGAATTGAATTTGTCTGTTTGGAACGGATTAATTTGCGCCAGTTCAGGTTATACTTCAAATTCGGGTTCATCATCGTTGCGGGCCCATACGATATCAATTGGGGAGCAGACACGGCGTGCAGCAGTCAGTTCGAGAACCTATACACCACCATCACCATCACAACCGTTCACTTTTGCCCTCAAAAAACCACCGCTACCGAAAAGAACCATCACAGCAACGAATTCAGTGGTCAGCACAATACCCGATTTCACTGGATCATCGGACGAACAAGTGAGTTTCAGCTTTTTCTTTCCTAAATTTTGTAAACTAAGTCTGCTTGCGTAATGAGTGGCTGGTATAAATTGAATACAGGCATCTCTAGATGTATGTGTGCATGTATAGATGTGTAAAAATTTATGTGTCTGCATTTGTGTGTGTATGTAAAAGTGTATACATGTGTATGTACACGTGTGTGTGTACGTACATGTGTGGGTATATGTATGTGTGTATATGTATGTGGGTATATGTGCGTGTATGTATGTATATATATGTTTGTACATGTGTTTGTGTGCATGTATATTTGTATGCTTATATATATATGCTTTTCATATGAAAGTTTGTGTAACATCAAGATTTCCACTCTGACAGCCCAAGCGGTCTTGGTAATTTTGAATTTTGTTTAAGTTTAAGTAACTTTTTTTTTGTAAATTTTTTTTTAGACATTTAAACGGAACGGAAGTTTGCTGTCGTGTTCATCGACCGATATATCGAGCGAGACAACAGTGCGACGGCCATCCAGACCGCTAAGTTTTGCATGTGAAGATGTGGTAACGGCACGCCCGAACGGTACACCACCAACAGTTCGTAATGGCCCTGTTAATAATGGTACCTGTACAGCGAATGATGGTAAGTCGAAAATTTTTTGAAAATTTATGCGCTTTTTTTTGAGCTTCCCAAAATTTTTGCATTGAACGCTGCCACTCTAAAATGCGGTAAAAATTCTACGGAGATGTTAATTTTGCTCATTTCCAGGTCCGTTTTTTTGCAGGAAATGCTCAGGCAAAAAAAAATATTTCACTGATCGCGGAAACGATTGAGCAAATTGACAAACTTGGCTCCGAATTGGATTCCTACTGTAATACAGCACCGGTTTCTGTAACACATCAAACAATTCGTTTTCGTTCGGGTAATTTCGAAACTTTTTTTTTTTTAAATTACTTGCTTGGAGGACTTGCAATAACGGTGATTAGTAGTGCGTAGTATGTAGTAAGCAACTTTTCCAGTTATTTTGACCAACGTTGCATCGCCTGTACTCAGGCTGCTGGCACGCTGATGCTCGTTTCCTGAAAAAATTAACAACTTAGTGATTCTTCCAACAAAAGCGCTTAGCAGGGATTTAACTGTCTCGAGGTGTACTTGCTATGATGTGGGTGTATGTGTGTGTGTGTTTTTGTTTTGTATGTGTGTTTGTGTGTGTGCATCTGTGTGTGCGCGTCTGTGTGTGCGCGCTTGTGTGTGTATGTTGGGTATCGCTATCTGTTTTCAAGTCCAATTGTACTGGGCACTTGACCATAGTCCAGTAACATCAAAAATTCAATTTAAATAAATCAGTTTTGGCATATTATCATTTTATCACTTTACCCTTTCAATCGGGTTGAATTTGAAATCACAAATGTATTTTCAGGTAGTTGTAAGCCTCCGCCACCGCCCGAACGACGTAATTCGACGATCACAGCAGCCACTCCAACAGCACCTTCGGTTGCCGAAATACGAGCTGCTGGTGGTACCACGGCAGCATCATCTGAATACGCTTCATCCATTGCTTCGTCCAGTGAATTTAGCCGCGATCAGTTCACAATGCGATATGTTTGAATGAAATGTTAAGGGTAATATATAATGACGTGTTCTTTTTTTGGGGGTATTTAAAATCCAAATTTACAGGAAAAGTTACTGGAAGAAATGCTAGAAGAAAGAGGAGGCAACGTTAAACGAATGAGATTTAAAACTAAGGGATGAAACACAGACTGCTTCCGTCTCTGTAATCGGGCATCCTTAATCCCGATCCGAGGCTACTGAGATTCTACCATGTTTCAGAATATTGTTAAAGTCCTTGAATTTTGATCAAGGAATATTGTAAATGTAATCAAAATACAGGTTTTTGATGGAAGTGTCAAAATTTTTGTTCCTGTTTGATTGTTTTCTAGTACTCCTACTGAATTTTCGAAAATGGCGTGGCGATTTTTTGCAAAGGTTGAAAAAAGGTGGTGAGGTTCTGCCCACAGCGAGAAAAGCTCTTTAGTGGTTGCAAGCTATTCCGACTGCTTTTTTTTGGAAATTTTCTCGAAATTTTTGACAACGCTAAGCAATTTTTTGAGGAAAATTTGGGTTAGAAAAAGAGGACGGAAAGGCTGTATTCAGTAGCGTTTCCGGTTACCAGAATATTATGGTGAAAAATCGCTGTAGTAATTTCTGACTTTTGCAGTGTTTTATTATATATATTTGGTTTTTCGAACATTTTAACGACGGCGTATTTGTTTTTTTTTTTTTGTTGTTTTTGCCATAATATGTGCTTTTTTCCGAATAGATATGCTTATAATAATTCTCCTCTGTTAGGATGAATTGAAAGCGGAAATAATGCTCGAACATATTGTCGTTGTAGAGCTTTTTGTTTCATCCTGTTC